TCTATGCATAAAAATTTCTTTGCTCATGTTTCTGTTTGACATTTGGAAACAGGACAGCTGATTTTTTGGATTGTAGTACATTGAATTTTAGTTGCAGTTGAAGATTAAACGAATAGCAACATACACGTTTCATAAAAAGTCAAATTGTATGTGCTTGACATAAAATAAAATGCTAGTCCCGATAGATTTCCATCACTTTAGAATCGATCTCTAGTTTGTGACAATTTCATGGAGATTTAGATTATTAGTTGAATACTTAAAGAATGACAAAAATCGACAGAGAGTAGTTCTGGAGCTACACGGTGGCCATTTGATTGTTATCCAAGGCCATCATTTGAACGTAAAGCAAAAAAAGCAAGATTCTCCGAAACAACACAACATGCACCAATCAAATCACACTTGATGCAGATGCTTTGGAAGGCGTGGATCGGCAAGGCAATAACTACATTTCTACAATTGAACAACATCTGAAACTCTAAGCAAATACCAAACGACACCAAAATCAGAATTTTCAATACAACTGTCAAGACAATTCTAATGAATTAGGCGGAAACTTGAAAAACTACCGAAGCCATCATCCAGAAGATACAAGTATTCATTAACAGTTGTCTACGCAAAATACTGAGGATCCGTTGGCCAGACACCATCAGCAACAACGTACTGTGGGACAGAACAAACCAGATTCCAGCAGGAGAGGAAATAAGGAAGAAGCGGTGGAAGTGGATAGGACATACACCACGAAAATCACCTAACTGCGTCACAAGACAAGCCCTTACTTAGAACCCTCACGGTCAAAGGAAAAGAGGAAGGTCAAAAAACACATTACGCTGAGAAATAGGCGAAGACATGAGAAGAATGAGCAAAAATTGGACAGAACTGGAAAGGGAAGCCCAGGATAGAGTTGGTTGGAAAATACTGGTCAGAGACCTATGCTCCATTGGGAGTAACAGGTGTAAGTCAGTAATTAATTATTTGAAAGGAAAACCGATTTTTATTTTCGGTATTGTATGCCCTTTAGAAACCAGGTACATCGAGGAGAACTGTGATCGAAGTGATATGATCCATAGTAGCTTAGATATTATCCTGAGAAATTAGACTTTGAAAATACCTTGGGGAGATGTCCTTGGAGACGTCCTGCGTATTCGACTGCTTCAGTAAATCTTTTAAGGAGCTATAAGATATAAATACTAAATAATAATAGTAATAAATATTCTAATATCAACCTGATCAACTTACATCCACCAATTACGATTGGTAGACTACATAGCTAGTGTTAGGTAAATTATTAACATTCAGAGTATACAGTGAATAATGAAGGAATTATGCCGTTTCCTTTTTGAAACTATTCATTCCATTGAGCGCGTAAAAAATGCTATGAGAGATTACAGTAATCACAGAAGGGATTTTACAGTGTTTTTTTTAATTTAAACTAATAAATCACGATTAATCAACGTTTGAATTGAAAGTTGAATGTACTAAATTTTTATCAATGTTATTTCTAATTACTATAAAACTCAAATATGTCATGGATTAGTAAATGACTGTTCATATAAGTTGTTGATATACTGGAAGTGTTGGATGCCTTTTTATACACTGTAATAAATACAGCGACTAAAACGGTCACCAAGTTTATGCTACCACTGAATTAGACGGAGACTAGATCGTTAAGCCATACAGATAACACACGACCGAAACAGAAAGTCAGAATAAGTGATAGACAGCATTTTGCTCCACACAATCACAAGCAGTCACACTGTGAATCCGGAGTAGAAATCAATAAGATGAAATGAAACCACATGATTAATATCCAGTAGTCTGTGTCAGCTTGGTCACACTCGATGACCAAACACATTTTGCTCTCACCACCATACATCAATAATGATATGTACAATAAACTATTGTCAACAAGCTACACTTATCTGGGTCACTAATATAATTCATCCAAATTATGTAAGAATGAATATTGTTGTCCTCAGAAATTGAATTAACTTTTTTCGGATATATACACACATATATATAATATTCGTTTTATTATGCGCTTCCGATTTACTCATCAACTACTGTTGTGTGATTTATTATTCTGAATCTGTTGTTAGTTTATTATTCAGTCTCTCCTGTTTACAGTCACTTTTGGATTTGTTTATGTACGATTGTTCTTTACCATTCATTGTTGTGATACAATGAAGTAAGACTATGTAGACCACTTATGCGTAGTGGAGATTGATTATTGTGTTCTGGCTTTGGAGGGCAGGTCCAGAAAAAATGCCACTGAATAGGGGGCCAATAAGAATGCAGCCACGACGCAAAACCTCTAGTGATTGTTGGAGAGTCATTGGTTAGCTCAGGGACAAGGTCATAGAAATCGATATTGTGAGTGATGGTTTGATGGTGAAACTATTGAGTACCTTATATACTGATAAGTTTATATTAGTTTCTTCTAGATTTTAGTGACCTCACTGGATTGGAGGAAGGGCTCACCATTTTTGTGACTGCGTTGAATTTGAAGTAGGACTCACCATTTTAGTGGCCTATGATCTGACTCCGACGAGTGGATAACGACTCGGGAAGAATGGATTCATAAATGCGTTCAAAGGCTGAAACAAGCCGTGTGAGCTCGACATAAAAGTAAGTGCACATACTACGAGATTGATAAGTTCAAATTCTACTTAGGCCCTAATTGACAGTTTGAGGATAAGTTTGGTAGGCAGTTCGTTGAAGTTGCTGAAACAATTAAAATAATTCGGGTGACTCAATACATCAAGGCAACCAGCACGGAGGTCCATGAGGAAGATTAATAAGGATGACAAAGCAAATATGGTTGCATGAAACGATAAGCTTCTGTGCAAAAATAAATTTAGACAACATTGTACAGTTTTTTCTACATAATAACATGTATTTCTGAGTTATTTGTATTGCCGAATGTCACTGGCGGCTTTCATTCACACAGCATGACTGACGGACTAAACATATAGGTCAATTATTGAGGTCTGTGTTAAATAATCCTGCCGTCTGATAAGAACAAGGAGGAGTTAGTCAGAAAGGGAAATGACCTGAAACTCTTGTGACAAGCATTCTTGTCGATCAACCACGTTAAATTTCGTAATATATTGCAACATAATGTCAGATGAAGTATTAGTTAGCCTGTTCTTATTCAGAAGGTTGTAAATAGCACGTGGGACATGTACGCATAGTGTTGTACTGCAACGCTGAGTGATCGGACGTTGTGTTTATGCGTGCCTGAAGTCTGCTTGTGTCTGTCTTGTTTTACTTTTCCGTTGCAGACTACTTAATAAGTGATGCGGGCTTACAAAAACAGTCAATTCAAAGAAGGTAATGTAAGGATTCCAATACTGGTAAGAGGAGTCAACGGAGCTTGAAGAGTTGATACCATTCATCATGTCCAGTAGCTCTATTAACCAGTATTTTGTCGCCGGAATCTCTATATTTGTGGCCCTAATTATCGATACCATATTGTGTCCAGTTATTTTTACAACGAGTGGCTGGAGTTGACAGTTGATGCGCACGTTTAACGAAAGCATAAACTATGTTTATTCGTTCTATTGTTATTTCAGATAATTGTGAAAAATGTCTATGCCACATTTCCTTTACTGTACCAGTATTTAAAACTTGTTGATATTGCCGCATAAGTATACTTTCCATTCAGTCATACTATAATTCATTCTAGTTTGTCAATTGTTGAATTTCATTCTCAGTAAAAAGGTGAATAAACTGGTTGCGACAACATTTTTACTACAACCAGTAAAAAGAACATTCACATTTGACCACTTAGTGAGTGAGTGATAGTTAATCTCATATTTGTCAAGTCTATTTAATTTTGATTGAATTTTGTATATTAATATCAAGAGGACTTGACTACTATTACAACTCAGCAATCAATCAATTGTAACTATCTCATTCCTAGATGAAGTCATCCGAAAGTCAAGCAGTTTGGTGGTAACCTTTCTGACTGTGAACCTGACTGCTACAAAATGAAATACGACAGACAGCACCAGTTCCTTCAAGATTTCAGGTACACTTTCCTGAAAAATACTAAACAGCCTAAAACTTAATTCCAGGGTTTATTTCAACTACCTCAAACTAGCTAAGTGTAATTCATTAATTTGTCATAAAAAAAACACTACAATTGAATCAGTTTTAATGGAAAACCTTCATATTTTATGGATTTCATTGAACTACTACCTAAAAAACTAGTGTATTGATAAGCAGTTTAAACAAATAAACTGGACTATGGATAATTTATAATTCAATTTTCTATGAATCAATTTATATCTTGATGGTTAGTATAGACAATGTCATAAAGAATGATTTATACGAACTGACAACCATTTAGGAACCATTATAAACCAGGAAACATTGGTTAGTTGCTACATCGTTTGTGACTCCATTTTTAATAAATTAGTCGATATCACAATGATTATATCATAATTAGATACTCATTTTGTTGGTTGTTTAAACTTGCCCACTGATATCTGTGACTGGAATTGATCATTCTCTTTGAAACAGATGCATACTATGCGGATCGCATCAACATTTCGTGCATTATTGGAAGAGGTGAATAGTGGCTAGCAGTGAAATGTAGAACTCGCGTATCGTCCCACTCGAGTTACTCATCATCCGCTGGACGCATCCAGATCCCAGAGTTGATGTTCACTCCACTTCGAACGCTACCGTGTTATTCACTTAAACTGCTGAGTCCAGATAGTCAGTCACTCGCTTGTACAAAATAGGGTGAAGATCAACTCATTGGTTGTTTAAATCCAGCAGTACATCTCGCTGAAAAGTCCCTACTGCGATGAAATGCTTATCCTGGATTCTACTGCAAGCCACTATATCTACTTCTGCTCATGTTTTCCAGTGTTTGTATGTGTAGAATGAAGCTTTAATAAAAAAAATTTTAATTTGATGAATACTTCAGTTTTACTTATTAGCCAATATTCGAGAATCAATCAGAGTTATTATGAAATTTAAAAAAAAAACACTTCTATGTATAAATAATTATCATATTTTAGGAAGAAAACAGAACAATTTTGTTCACTATTCAAGTTGATTAAATATAAATAAAGAAATAAATGAATAGATAGATAGATAGATAGATTGATAAATTGCCACGAGATATTATTGTTCATTGTTCTCTGTTTAAACGTGACACCACTCGGATAAGTGCTCGATGTTCAGCATGCAGTTTTTCAGATTCAGCACGTAATTTTTCAAGTAACTGAAATGCAAAAGAATAGAACGATAGATAGATAGATAGATAGAAAAATTATGAGTAAATCTGCATTTCCGTTTGTTCAATGATATTGATATATCATTTAGAGAGGCATGGAGATGGTTGTTGTTTTTTTCATTGGAATCTTGAACCAACCATTTTAAGACCGACATCAGAAAACTGGAAGCACTTGATGGTCGTTTCATCCTAGTATGGGACTCTTCGGCTGTACACATACATCCACGACCACCGCCCGCAGGAATCGAACCTAGGACACCTTCAGCCTCGCTCGCAAACACTTTAGCCTCTGAACCACTGACCCAGAATCCAATGGAGTTAATGTCTAACTTTAATCAATCCAAAGAATTTGCTCAACCTCATCCACTATCTTCGGGGGGTAATTGTCTACACACCTGACGTATTGGTAATAACACTGTCTTAACACTACTGGGAGGAAACCTACGCATAACACACGGAATAAGTAAGGAGTGGTTTATTCTTGTTATTTAAGCACTTCAATTACTAATCGTAGAAATCAATTATTCAGTAAGGAATTTTTTCCTTAATTGCAGGTAGATATCACAAGTAAAAGCCTCTGTCTGTAATCGATGATGCTTGTCAGTCAGTCAGATGCAACGTAGAACTTTGTACGTAAGTACATCAGTTCATGTTGCCATACCTTATCAGCACAGAGATATAATTGTCAATTCAAATCCAATAGTAGAAGAGGTAATAAAGGTATTAGCAGTAATCGGAGAGGTTAGGATTAGAAGATATCAATCAGGAAGTATGATTCAGTGAGATAAGTTAAGAAAGTCAAAACTAGAGTGGCTGAAGAATCCAGAAGATTAGGGTTCAAGAGAACACAGAGAATGGATGCACCGGCGCCATTGCAAACGGTTTTCAGCCATGTCATTCAGGGTCCCTAACCACCGATTATTATCATCTCGTGGACCCCAACCAGGTAGTCGACAACTAACGACATGACTCAGTCCACTCGTCGATGACTTCATGGATTTCTGACATGTTTTGGTCTGGCCGCCCCTATCTTTCTTCCAACCTATTCCTACACTACGAAACAAAGCTCGGCGAGGTAGTCGGTGGTTAGGCATACGCAACACATGTCCCAACCACCTCAACTGATGAAGTTTCATTACTTCATCTATTGACCTGCCATTCTTACATAGCACCCGATTCCTAATAACAGCGTTGCTCACTCGGGTGTCCCACGATTTACGAGCAATGCTTCGAAGACACCTATGATCGAAAACCAGTAACCTACGAATATCTTCTACTCTCATTGGCCATGTTTCACAGCCATAAAGTAAGACAGAGCGAACTACTGCGTAGTACACTCGTCCTTTAGTCAGCAAACGGATATCTCGCCTACGCCATAAGTGACGCAGGTTGGCGAAAGCCAATCGAGCCTTCTGTATCCGAGCTGAGATTTCGTCAGTCACCAGGCCATCGGCCCTGATGAGACTCCCAAGATAAGTGAAGCGGTCTACCTGTTCGACTCCTTCACTCCCTATCACTAGTTCAGGTGCCGATGAAACCCAATCTTGAAGCAACATTTTGCATTTCGAGGGGGAAAACCGCATCCCGGACATGCTTGCATCAATATCAATGTTCACTGTTTAAAAAATGTTCATCGACTTCTCAAGTCTTTGAAAGTATATTAAAATTTTAATGGCACTTACTTTGAGTTCTTGTTCGCATTCTGAAATTCGCCTTTCCATTTTCTTTGAAATTTACAATTCACATGAAATGAAAACAAAAATGTTTACAACACATGTATTATTGTTAGTTTTCATATAGAGCTTTATAATAAAATGACTTATGTGTTTAATTAATTAAGTCAACTCTCCCTTTCTTTCTCTTTCTGAAAACGGGAATTATTCAAGTTGTTTAGTTTAGCACATGAGATGTGATTCCTAGCTATTATTATTGTTATTATTTGTTATGATTATTAGTTTTTGTTAATGATATTATTAGAAATGGATTTTTCTTTTCAGATGATGTTGCAGAGTATCTTGTCGTCATGTTCCACACTGAGTGTAAATAAAATTTTGAAAAAAAAGATGAACAGACGGCTTAAATAGCATTTTTCACTTCACTTCACATCTGATGATATTGCCAATTGAATAATACAGTGGAATTCTGTTTGATTCTCTGCAGCTGGATGTGTTGGTTTGTGGAGCTTTGATTGTTCTCCAGAAGAACATCATCAGCATGAATGTTTACCTGAATTTTGTGCTGATGATGCTGCTGTTCAAACGGACAATCAAAGCTCCACATATGACAAACATCTAGTTTGAAGAATGAAAATTCACTATAGTCACCTGAGCTACCACCAATTTTCTTCACCATCTCAATGCAACTCTGTGCTGATTAGTATTATCATAAAATGAACCAATATATGTTGGACCACTGATAAACAAATGTGACACACAAACACACACACAAATCATCAATTCCACAGTAGGAATTCTAAAGATTCTTTAAGTAGATCAAATAACTCAGTGTATTGGACATTGAATAGAAATGATCAGTTGAACCACTTTTTTTTCGCAACTGAATAAATAAGAAGTAGTAATTGAATTCCAAAAATAAACCGACTGTAAAATTGAATTGATTATCTAGATTGGATTACATATTATATCAATTCAATTATCATTAGAGTCTGCTCAAAATTAAAAATGGAAAATCATTTATATTTTTATTATACTTTCATTGTAACAATACTGAAACGTCTATACACGTGATGCACAAATATTTCGATATTATGATGATTTTAGTTTGAAAGACTGAAAAATGTGGATTGAAATAACTGTCAGATATATATTTTGTATGTATGCCTTGAAACGTACATGAATGTTTGTTTGTAGAAATCCCTCTATGTTTTTTTTATGACAATAACCCTTTTGTTTTACTCTGAAATGTAAACAAGTCACATTTGAATGATACCTTCATTTATATAGATCGTTGAATTTCGACTCTAGATGTGAAGTTGTTATTGTCTATTCTAATTTCAATGTTGGTTTTCCCAGCGTTTCTCTTTATTTGTATGATCTCTATGGTTTGGATTAATTTTGGTTTACTTGATCTCTGATCTTGATGGCTACCATCTTCAGTTTCCCTAATTTGATTGTTCTTCTTTGAACCGATAGTATTGACCTAGTCAGAGAGGGAGGAATAGTGTTCCATAGTTGACAGGAATACTAATACTAGAAGCTTTCAGAGAATATGTCACTGTACTTTTAATTTATCTGTGAGGAAGGAAGCCTATCTAACGGTTAACTAAAGACTATGTACAATCCCAACTACATTTCCTACAACTTTTCCCCATTTAAAAAGTTTTTGCACTCTACTATAAAAGTTTCCTTTCAGATTACAGGTAAAAATAAAATAATTATGGACACGTAAGTAAAGCACACAAAAAATGAAATGAAGCTGAGGAGTTATGTAAACTTCAAATTCCTCAAAACAAACAAACAAGAGATATTATACCTTGAAATTCAAATTTGAAGCATATTTTAGTTGGGTATGTTATCCTCACTGTTTCAAAATTGGAACAGAGGCTGGTCAGACTACACTTACCCTTTTTGTTGTTTAATAACTTGTGAATTCATAAATAGCCATCCAAGCGAATTCAGAGTTGTTATTAACCTCCAGTTAATGAGACAGAACACAAATTTCTATGTAGGTAGACTGCTCGATAATAATAGATGATTGTTTATGAAATGGAAAGACCAAATCTCCCTGATGATTCAGTAACCTTACTTTATTCACAACATAATAAATTGAGACATTAAATAACTCTTAAACAATATGAATAGTATTTTCAAATTCAGCACTATTCTGTATTTCAACTTTCCATGAGACTGGAGTACATAAATAATGCTAAATATAATAATGATACTATTGTATATAAATGGAAGGTTCCTGTGCGCTTATTTAAAAGTCATTAAGTCATCTTACAAAACAATCGAAGCAGGTTATTTAATCTTGTTGGAATCAGTAGTTTAATGATAGACTTTATTACACATAAACAAATCGATGTTTTCGGTAATTTTGCAAAAGTGAACACAAATTACGAAAGACGACCACCTTCTTACACATAGTCATAATTAAAAATATGTTGGTTGTACAGTAAATGGGCAGTACATAGAACAAACCAGTTTCAAGCATCAAAATAGAATACAACTGACAACAAATGGTTTAGGAGTTGAACAAATACTTTTTCACAAAGCTGCTAATGATTAATACATTTGCAGTCATAGTGAATGATGAGAGGCAGTGATATGTCTGCTAAATAAACACAAGATCAGATTTCCTATCTACTTCTAATAACCCCAGACTAAATCTACAACTGCGACTTGAACACACTAAAAAAGGTGCACCATACGAAGATAACTATTTACTCCAAGGTTAGTTTATATACAAAAAAAATTAGAGCATTTATAGGGGTAGTCATCAACTTGAGTTTTTGATTGTTTCCGGAACCATACCTAAATACGGTGATAGTATGACTAAACATCGAGTCTGAACAGTGGCACTTGATTCTTCATTTTCCAGATGTTTCTTCCAAGGTTCCATTCAATGTTGATTGGAAAACCGTTTCCTGGTGTATCTGCTACTCTAGATACTGTTCCAAAGGAATACTTTGGGACTTGAACAACAGGAAATACTTAGTTACACGGCTACACAGTTTGTGATCTGTCTCTAGAAAGCAGTTAAAAGTTCGAAAAACTTAAAATACTTAAGATTGACCAAACTACCATACCGATCTCTTTAAATTCTTAACAATATATCTTGCAAAAACAAATTTTCAAATTCAATTTGGATAATTTCACTTACCTTTTGTTCAACCTCACTAGGTCTTCGTCTACTATTTGAATTTTCTAAGGAGTCTTCTAACTCTTTTAATTCTTTTTGAGCAGCTTTCACTTCTTCACGTAAACTATTCGTTAGTATTTTCTCTTCTTCGTATAAATGTTTGTAATTAGGTGTTTTACTTGCAGCACTACTCAAATCCTATCAGAATGAATGCAATGAAATAACTATCAAACAAACTATTGTTGAAATATCGAAATGATTGAAATGAGAAGAATGTTGTACATTATTGAGGGCGGTAAAATTAAGAAGGAATAAACAGTTGCATACACGGAAGAACGAATACTTCAAAGTGCTCCCTGTAAACACAAGTGAAACACAAGTAAATCTCTACATTCTTATTCATAACTACATACGTCATTGAGTTAAGGAATTAAGTCACTCTAAACATAATTGTTTGTTGCTACATACAGTACTCACTCCACTTATGCAGGTATCGAGCCATAATTCGCTAACATTTTGGATATCTGCCAATGTCTCTAGTAATTTATACTTTAGCTAGCTTTCGTTAACGTCAATGGTGTTACCCAAATGGTTCAACACTATCAGAAACATCACTCTTTAGTTTCCACTACTGACATGAAAGACTGACAGAGTTGACCACTACAACGAGCCCTGTGATTATGTATCATAAGTGTTCTGTATTCTTTTACATTTTCACTATTTCAAAAATTCAAAGCAACATCAATAATTTCATTGATGGAATACAATTGAGAAGGAATGAAATCAATAATAACTTGAAGAATAGTTAGTTTTTAATAGTTTATGCACTTTTATTAATGGTCAGTGGGCATTTGTAATTTTTCCATTCATTAATTAGCATTGATTACACCATACATTTTGGTCATATTAAGTTTGTGAATAAATGTTATAATTGTATTGTTTTAAATCTGTTCACTTTCCAAATTACCTTATAACTGATTGCATTATCGCCCTAAAATTCTCATGTCAGCCAGTCAGGTACAACGTAGAATTTCGTACGTACTTACATCAGTTCAGGTTTCCAAACCACATTAGCACACAGAGATCTAATGGTAAATTCAAATCCCACAGCAGCAGGGGTAGTAGAGACATAAGTGGCCATCGAAAAGATTTGAGATCGATGATAACATTTGAGAAGTATATTCCGGTGAAATAAATTTAATAAGATAAGAAATTGTCATGAGGAACTCATAAGATTAGAATTTGAGAGAAAACAAAGAATGATTGCACCTGTGCCATGTTGTTCAATGTTTTTAACCATCCGTTACCACTGTCTCGTGGACCGCAACCAGGTTGTCTACATCTACCAACATGGCTCAGTTCACTTTTCAGTGAGTTCATGGATTTGTATCATGTTTTGATTTGGTCACCATTAGCTTTCTTCCAGCTTACCCCTACATCACAAAACACTACTCTTCAAGGTAGCCGGTGGTTGGGAATTCGTAACACATGTCTCGAGCATCTCAACTGATAAAGATTCACTACTTCATCTTCATCTAGTATCCTTTTCTTAACAACAGCATTGCCTACTCGGTGGCCCGAGGATATACGAGCAATGCTTCGAAGACACCGATGATGGAATACTAAAAGCCTACGAATATCCTTTACTCTTACTGGCCATGTTTCATCCTCATACAGTATTAAAGAGTGGATTGATGCTCCGTAAACTAGTCCTTTGATTAACAGACGGACAGCTCACCTGCAATATAAGTGACGCTGGTTGGCAAAAACTGACCGAGCCTTCTGTATACACGCTGATATTTCTTGTGTTTATTAATAGATAGTAGAAATGAAAATTTCACACCATTTATACACCATTATATGAACTGTCAAAACTATTTCATTAAAAAAATTTATATAATCTTCTAAAATCCTAAATCATAATTTATAACTTACGGAATTCCATGATGAACTAGTACCTATTCCACCAACTGCATAACTTGTACTGGAACTAATCTTATTTGGCGATCTACGTGGATATTGTGGAAGTCCTGAGTAAGATGAAGTTGATGTTCCAGTTGGAGTACAACTACTACCGACACCAACACTGCTAATACCACTTCCGGAATTACTTGAAAGACCTTGTGTACGTGTTAAATATCGTGATGGTGGCTTTGGTGGATCCGTCTTAATAAATATTTAATACAAAAAGAAGAAAATTATGAGATAAATTTAGTACATGCCAATACACTGCATACTTCAAACTTAATATCTATAACTAAACACTGTAAATACCATTGTAAATACAACATCTTGGCGAATTTCTTTCCATGTTGAAAAATCTCTAACATGTAGCATGTGATTTTTAACTTGATTTTAGACAGATTCTAAATCTTTTACAATAAATCGATATCATTCATACAACAATTACATAAAAATATTAAGTTGACTAAAAAATTAGTCATTTAAAACTGTTTCTACATCACATCAGTGATTGATGTGATGATAATGGTGAAAACTCAGAAAAAGAAGTTGTCCACAAACTTTATATCGAAATATCATGTTTTCTCGACAAAGATCGATCAGATATAGAAGTCACCAGGTAACATACTGCAAGGTGAATGAGTTTTATATTTCACATATATACAACCGACAACCACCGACTGGATTTATTAAGACACGTCTTACGTAGGTAGTAATTATTACAGATTGGAGGTATCTAGAATATTACTGAACAGCTCTCTTGCTCTAGTATAGAATATCTCCTGCAAATATCACACAAACATTTCATCTAAATCTCCTACCATCGTTCAGAGATGTTGAGAAGGAAAAAGTCATCACCTATTCCACTCAATGGTACCCACATAGCATCGTAGAAAGATTCAAGCTTGACATGAAGATCGATAGGCTGAATTTCACTGATCTAAAAATCAACTATTCGCTATGAAACCCAAAGTCTCTAGGTTCAATACATAACGAACGATGTGGTGAGTGCACATTACAAAGAAGTCTGTAGCTATTTAGAAATAATTCTATAGTACTCCGTCAAATTCTACACTAGACATCATCAACCTGTGCTCAAAACTATAATTCGAAGATAATTTTTTGAAAATATTGATTGAATGTGTAATTTAGAGGTTGTTTTATTTATTCAATTCTTCTCTATGTGTACAAGCCTAGTTTTTAGAGACTTATTTATTAAAAAAAAAAAAGAATTATTTATTCACTATGAAATGTTTGTAAATTTTGAAATAAAGTAAATAAGATGTTGACAATTGAAGAATTTAAATGTGATCAGAAATATCGCAGATTAATCACACCACGCTATTGAAATATAATCAACACACTTTAAATATTTCTCATTGTTGATGATGATGTTTGATTTGATTTTGACGTATATATATTTATAAACAATCTGTCAACACATTAAAAAGTATACTATTCATACAAATCAACAGAAAATCCTGTCACATCAATAAACTTAATATATTTGATATTTTTGTCAATCTGTGCTTATTATCTATCAAAAAGTGAGATCTTTTTATTCTATTCAAGTGGAAGCTTTAATGACAAAAGAAAACTATATTGATCGTGTTGAAAAAAAATTCTACTTTAACAATTCAGTTATGCATAGAAATATAATCTTTCTATCATTAGTATACTCTATGAATGACGATTTTTCTGATCAAATTCAGGCACTATTTCCAATGTTTACAAAAGTTAAAGAAACTTCTTAACTAAGTCAAAGGTGTGTGCATTAACTGAGCAGAGTACCAAACTAGGAAATGTCCAGCATTATTAAGTTTCCAGTGGTGTTCTAATTTAGATCGCTTTGTGGAGTTTTTTAATGGACTGTTTATCTGACTCCGATTTGATCTTATGATAATAAAAAGATATATACAAGTCACAGACCGTCATAATTATCGATTTGAAATAAGCAAAAAATCAGATATGAGAATGAATTCTGAATATCCATATTTCGTACATTCGTTTCCTGAAATAGACTATAAGCTAAACAAAGCTGAAAAGCAGACCGGAGAGTGCCAAATTGACTTGATCAAGCACAACAAACTATTTTCAGCCTAACAAAAATAGCCAAGGTTATAAGCAGATAACTGACATGGTCGAAATTTGCGTTGAAAGAATAATAAGATTGATCTGTCATGTGAGCCGGATCGGTCGAATTGGTCTGTTCATGCTGTGACTATTGATTGGAGCGATTCCTGATACAATTTTGAATTATTGACAAGTAATCTCTACAAACTTTTATAAAACAAGGAGAATCGATCGTCGAACTCTACAGAACTCTTCAGTGTTCCTATACTGTGTAATACATGAAATGAAATTTTCCACGACTAGAAAATGTTTTTTGGGAGAAAACAATTAAAAATTAAATTAAATTAAAAAATCAGTTAGCTTCATAAATCGAAGAGTTATTTTCTAAGAACCATTTTAAGAAAATGTGTAAAATTGTATTACACAGAGCTTTTTATGATCATCAACGTGATCTGAACAATTTTAAATCAGTGATTATTGTATACTAAAATAATAAGATTAATTAACTAAATGATTTTTATTAATAATAACTTGATCCATGATTAAATGGTACTTTAATTGATCAATTCGCCAATGGAAACATAATGAACTTCAATTATCACCACTTAATAATTTATAGCCACTTATCTTTGCTTAATGAAGTTTCATGACAGTGTTAATCGTTCTTTTTTATCTTTGATTTGTAAATTATTTTCAGTTACTAACAGTTATAACATTTCATACCATGAATAATTTAACATTTATTACTTCTCATGGTAGATATTACAGTTATTGACATTCGTAAATCAATTTCATCTGCTTCAGTAAGTACGTAAACTGAAAAAAGTCCAGCTGAATAGTGATAGGCTGAGTCAGACAGACAAATTAGCATAACGTCGCATGTTATTGGTCAAATAGCTGATGGGTGAACGATTTCAGTCGTGAATCAATGAGTTTTCACACATGTTTCGATCCTTTTTAGCTAAGACAGTTTTCGACTCCCCGTTATTCTTTTCACCAAAATTGTAAGTTGTGCTTTTATACAGAAATCGGTGACATTATTTATCAGGGTCGGATAATATCTCAACATAACGGATGCATTATGTTTCTAAATGTATATCAATTACGTCAAACCCCATAATGCAATTACCTGTGCTCACTAGCGACCAATGGAGTTCAACCCTGTTCGGGTGTAGACAGTAACTACCAAAGACAGTGTATGAGGCTGTGCAAGACCGTGAATTTATCGTAGTTAGACATTAACACCGTTAGAAACCGGCTCAGTGGTCCAGAGGTTAGGCGTTCGCGCACAAGGTCCTGGCTTCGAATCCTGCGAGATGCAGGAGTCATGGATGCGCACTGCTGCTGAGTCCTATACCAGGACGAAACGGCCGTCCAGTGCTTCCAGGTTTCTAATGGTGGTCTATGATTGATCGATTCATGATTTTAATGAGTAAATTACCAATCTCCACAACCCCATAATGTAATACAAGTGTACATGAACTGCATAACAATAAATCAGATATCAGTGTTAATTATTAATAAGTAATCTATTTGTAGCATTTTTTTAGTGACGCTTTTATATGACATTTATGTTACCCGAACAACGTAAGAATCTGATAAACCTGTCATTTCATCGCATTAATTGTTTTGCACTCATTTTCATACGATTAGTTGTTCATTTTTATTGGCTCGTGTTTTTTATTATCTAATTATTATACTAAATATTTGGATAGATAAACCGAGTGAACCACTAACTCAGCGATTTGACCGACGTATCAACTCATGCCACACGCTGAATGACGATTTAATAAATTTAAAACCAATTTATCACATTATAGAACTCTAGCTTTCTACTAACTCTGTATACGTCTGTATGAATTATTCCTAAAGCAACAAATGATTTATTATTACGGTTTTGTTCAATGGATTTATTTACACAATCGAGACTTGCCTTAGAACTAAACAGATTTAAATAGTTGTGTGCTGCGGTAGGTATTAGACTAGCCTTTCTTCCGACGAAACAGAATGAATTTCGCACAACACTAGTTACGTAAGTTAACAACATGTGTAAGTGCGTAAAAATATCACCTTTACGTAATAAACAGTTTAACAGATGTAATCTATTTATTTAATCAAAATGATTGGGAATCTTAATGACTACAATTTATCATGAAACCAAGCAGATTTTCTTGTATAGGATATGACGTTCTTTACTGCACTCAAAGATCTATATGTATGGTACCACCAACTGAGTACACAAACTTACACGTTCCTGCCAAGACAGTTTCATTGGTAGAATAGGAAGAAATCCCTGCGTTTTGGATTAAAGGCTTTGAGCAGTGCTCTCGTAAAACATCTCTGTAATACAAGGCATCAAGTCGAATTTCTGTTCTTTTCAAACTTGCTGAAGCTATGGCTATCAATGGCCTCAAGTTGGACTTATGTATGCGAAAGAAAATAATTGTAAATCTTTCCTTATCATGGTGGCTTGATCGTCAGATTATCACATGATTCTTGCGAATTTTCTCTCCTTCACTCTCTTATTTTGATTGCATTACTTCTTTTAAATGCATAGCTTTGTTTTGCTTTAAACTGATTGATTTCAAGTCATGTTATTCTTAATTGCTATTAATTTATGTTCAACTACTTTATGGGGCAATCAATTAATTATTCTATTTTTATAATCTCTTGTTAATCATTTCTGATGATTCAGGATCTTTTCTCACATATTATAATTATGTACAATACTTTTTGTATGTCTACCATCTCATTACTCCACTATGATGAGTCATACCCCCATCATATTGTTATAAGTACGTAAACGAATTCTGATTTTCAAAATATCATAGATTGTAAGCAACTGATAAGAATCCCACTTTAAAAATGTGACTAAAAAGAAAGCTGAATAATTCAAACTAATCTGCTTCTACTATGTTGTTCTTTTTTATCAACTTTGGAATAAAACATTGATTTGTTGAAGTCAGCTTATCAAATATATGAATTCAAAGCAAGAACTGATTTTAACTAGACTAACTTTGAGAAACCTGCAAACACCGGATATTCGTCTCATCAAAGTATGGAATGCTTCAGGAATGCACATCTACGACCCCGAACGCGGGAATAAACCCAAGACCTCTAGTCTTATGCAA